TAAACTATAACTCCCAGAATCCCTCAGCCACTATAATAAACTATAACTCTCAGAATCCCTCAGCCAGTGTGGTAAACTATAACTCCCAGAAACCCTCAGCCACTATGATAAACTATAACTCCCAGAATCCCCCAGCCATAATAGTAAACTACAACTCCACCCCTCTTAAATCAGCCAAGATTGAGAAACAAACCATGTTGGGTGACTAATGATTGGCGGGTTCTTGTTTGTTTTCCTCGGCTGAAGGATCTGCGGCCCGGCCAGGGGCCCTAAGACCCCTCCCTCCCAAAAAAGGGAAACTCCCTCCTTCCCATTTCCAAGACCTCCCACCCTGTGTGCTTTGTCGTGCCCCCTCCCAGAATGTTTGCCAGAACCGCGAGGGATGAGCCAGGATGAGTACGTGAAGACCGCCATCCCGCTAGGCGCCCTGGTGATGCTGTGTTTCCTGCAAGTCTACGTTTTCCGTCTCCGGAGAGTCATCGCAGCCTTCTACTTCCCCAAGGTGGGAGGGGGAGTTGACCACGTGTCGCCCTCCATCCCTCCCATGTCTGCCCCTTGATCGGTGCAAAGCCCCCCCGGCCCCCGGCCCCCACAAAAGGGGAAGGGGACGACTGGAGCAGACAGGCCGACATGATGGGGTACTTGCTAGGTGCAAAATGGGTCGTGAGAACTGAGGATTGCAAAATTGCATCCATTGGCGTCTTCGGGCTGCTGTGTGTCTTTGAGCTATAAGAGGTCCCAGAATTCACCATGGGTAGACTACAACTCCCAGAATCCCCATGCCAGCATAGGTGGATTTCAACTCCCAGAATCCCCCACCCAAGCATGAGTAGACTACAACTCCCAGAATCTCCATGCCAGCATGGGTTACCTACAACTCCAGAATCCACCAGTTAGCATGGCAGAACTACAGCTCCCAAAACGCCCAGCCAGCCTAAATGGACTACAACAGCCAGAATCCCCCAGGTAGCATGGATGGACTACAACTCCCAGAATTCCCCAGCCAGCACAGGTGGCCTACAACTCCCAGAATCCCCTAGCCAGCACGTGCACGGGTAAACTACAACTCCCAAAATCTCCTAGCCAGCAGAACCCTGAAACCAGCACGGGTGAACTAGAACTCCCAGAATCCCCCAGTCAGCCCAGGTGCACTAGAACTCCCAGAATCCCCCAGCCAGCACGTGATTTGATCCTTATTTTTTTTCTCTCTCTCTTTCTGACAGCGTGAGAAGAAGCGAATTATCTACCTCTACAACGAGATGTTGCGTCGGCGCATGGCTTTTGTCATTGTGCAGCGCAAACGCATCATTCTGCGAGCTCGGAGGCGCAAGAGAGTGGTGAGTAAACCCCAGCACACCAGCCCTGCGAGGTAGGCCAGGTTGAGGAAAAAAAACCACGACACGAGAAGAAATTCCCCCTTTTTAAAAAAAATAATAAGAAGAAAGGGATTCACTCCACCATTCTGGCAAGGAAGGAGATGTGAAACCTGGAACCACACCGCTCGCCCAACGAGAAGTTTTATTTAAAAAATAAAAATAAATAGGAGAGGAAATTGAATAACGAAATGATTCGGTATGTCTATAAATGATACGGTGGCCGTCACTAGAAGAGAGCATTGAAATGTTGAAAAAGGAAGGAAGGAAGGATTATAATTGCATGTCAATATGTGTATCAAGAGATATGGTTGGTTTTATTCCTTTGGCTTGTACTAAAATGTACGACGTATGGGTGCCACGCTGTTTATGTGTTGATGTGTAATGTGTGGATGTTCTGACCCAAACACAGACCAAACAGAGATAAAAACAAAGGCTTTCAATGCTTCTCTGCTAATTTTCTTAATTCACGGTTAAAAGACTATTAAAACTAATTGTCTCTGATAAGAACGAGTGGTGCGAGGCTGCCAAGAACACCAGATAAAGTTGCCAAGAAGTATTTCAAACACAAAGTGTCTCCAAACACCAACCAAGATCCTGCAAATGTCCACCAGGCTTGAGTGCAAAAACGTTTTTGCTTCCTGCAAAGAGCTCCGGTTTCTCAGCTGGCTTTTATCTCTTGAAGCCATCACCTTGCAGCCTTACACTATCTATCTATCTATCTATCTATCTATCTATCTATCTATCTATCTATCTATCTATCTATCTATCATCTATCACCTATCTATCTATCTATCTATCTATCTATCTATCTATCTATCTTTCCTTCAAACAGCCCTGCGCACACGCACACTGGGCCCAGGCTCCTCGGGGTCCTCTTCCTCACGGTTGCCAGCCTCCCCAATCTCCAAAGACAGCACCCCACTTTCCGACGGTCCTGGGCCCATCCTCGCATCGCACGCAAAGCCCCTCGCCTGAGTCCTCGCTCTCCGAGACCTCAGCCCGGCAAACCACAACAGTAGATTGAAATAAATAAAAAGGAAAAAAAAAAAGGAAAGGAAATTTGGGCCTCCCTTGCAGTCGTAAGTCGAGGAGGACTATTTCTCTCCACTCTGTGTCTAAAACAGAGATTGATGCTTGTCAGCCAAGCCAGCTGACCTTCCGCCTGGCTATTTCCGGCTGAATTTCTGCTTCTGCAAAATATTTTTGGCATGTGGCGCTCGGCTTCCAGCACGGAGCGGCACTCGAACCCGCGACCCCGCCCTGTTAGTTGGCAGTCTCCTTCAGGGTGGGGGGGCACTCCACCCCTGGGCAGGAACGGATGGGCGTTTCCCTCCTTCGGTCCCCACAGCAGGGTTGGTATCCGTGCCCACCCAAGCACCAATTTTTTTAATTTGGTCCTTTGTGGCCAAAATCCAGTCGATTGGACGCCCATTGGCAGTTCTCCAAATCTCCTTTTCTTGGGCAGGTTCCAGTCCTTAGGGTCACTTTCCAGGCAGTGGACTCATAGTTACGACGGTGGCAGAGTTCACGTCATCCCCTTTGGCAACCTTGCGACGAGTTGGGGAAAACCGCTTTCTAACATAACTAGCCCGTTCTTCATTGAACAACGGCAACGGTTCACTTTTAACGACGGCGGCGAGGAAAGGGGGTTAAAAAACGGGGCCCCACTCCCTTGAGGGGGCCTGTCTCGCTTAACAACAGGCTCCATTGCGGTTGTTAAGTCGAGCAACTCTCTCCCCCTGCCCTGTTTTTTTTGCAAAACGGGGAAATCCTAAAATGTTTTTTTTTTCTTGATGACTTAAATCTTCTTCAAACT